CATCTTTTGTGATGACGAACACAGCTGCCGTAAAAAATTTGTAACAATGGCACTCAATCTCTGCATCACACTCATGACTATTATATTCGCAGAACTTGTTCAAAATATACAATTCATTTTTTAGCAAAATTTATTGCTCCAAGTCATTACACCTTGTAGCCTTAATGAGGTTTACTCCTCAAAATTCAATAAAAATACAAACTCTATAAGCCGATCACCTTTTGGCAGAGCATGAGTTTACATTAGTTATTTTTCCTTAACGACCACCACCTTACGAGTCTTCCCTTACCTTCATATGATCTATATTCCACGTGATAACATGATCATGAAATCATACACAAATATTTCATCATGTAAGTTTCGGAATTATCTTTACATGGACTGGTCATGGGTCTGAGTCGACTTAAATTGGACTCAACCATATAACTATTAAAGAGGCAGATGATACAACTATAAACAATATGTTGAGAATTTGGCCAATTATGAAACCCATCTTGGCCAAAGAGTACTAAATTTTGATTTCTTACGGACTATTTAAAACACCATCATAATTCTGCAGAAACTTTGTTGCTTGAAAAAACAATAGTCTCACCCCAAACTTGCTCTGATATCACTTGTAAGGATTGTTAAAAAATCTAGAGTATTTATTATAATCAAATTACATAATCAAACAAGACGATAACGATCCCTTCTTCCCAACCTCATTCTCTCCAGTTTTTCAATAGAAGAATATGGCACCCTGCCCCAATATCTGATGCACAATAAAAGTGATGAAAACTGATTTCTAAAAAGAGCATTGAGAGGGAGATGGTTACCACATATATAGAGTCTTATCCTCTTAGGCATCTGTCCATCGAAGAAGTCCTAGGAGAGTGGTAGGCATCAACTACCTTATTTTTGGGAAACCACAACTCACATAGGTTATAATGTTTTACCGATTCTGCTATACAATCCTAGTTCAGTTAGGGAACCATTAACCGATGTTTAATAACATGCCATGTGTAGTACCAATGAGAATATTTTTTATACAATCGGAAATAAAATAAAACATTCCAACAATCATAACCTACAAATTTGTACACAAAACAGTTATCTAAGATTTATCAACCTTCTAAAACTCCAAAAACAATTACTTAAATAAGAATTATTTTGCTGAAAACAATTATTTGTTCGCTACATTATGTTTTGCAATGTAATGGTAATTGCAATATTGGTGAAGCAAAACAATACAAGAATATAGAAATTAAATATGGAACCATCATCAGGTCCGACTTGATGTAAGTTGGGGCCCTTTTAAAATTTATTAAAAATATATATTATATGATTAATATTTTACTTCAAAATTATTCTTCTCATTTTTTTGTGACGCAAATTTAGTAATTAAGGGCTCGTTTGATAACGTTTACGATTTTTGATTTTCTAAAAAACGAAAAATAGAATCAAAAAAGGAAAAATATTTTTTTCTCGTTTTTAAAAATCGCCCCTCGTTTACAAAACGATGATAGAAAAAATAAAAATAAAAACAGTTATCAAACGAGTTTTTTTTTCTTGTTTTTTCTAAATATCAAAATAAAAATGAAAAACATAAACGTTACCGAACAATCAATATTACTCAATAAGCAATGTATGCATTTGAAAACAAATCTAGTCTTTTGATATAACTTAATATTTCTATTGGAGTGTTGCATAGAGGTGTTAATCGAGTCGAGCTTTTGCAAGCTTGAGCTCGAGCTTGGCGAGCTTGTTTTTTTAAATGAGTCTAAAAAGTTATTCATGTTCGGCTCCTTTAGAAAACGAGTCAAGCCGAGCCCAAGCCAAACCCGAACCAAGTCCGACTAACTCTATCATTTTACATATAAATGAGTCGAGCTTTGCGTGCTTGAAATGAACCTTTTAGACTTGTTTTTCTTTAAACAAGTCCAAAAAATTGTTCAAACTCATCTCGTTTAGAACACAAGTCAACCTCGAGCCGAATTTTATCTGGGCCAAGTCCGAGCCGAGCCCGAGAATCTCGTCTCGATTCATACCCTTAGTGTTGCAGTTTGTTTTAAAACTTCTCTTACGAATTTTCATTTTGAAAATGAATCTAACTCATTGTTATCGAAAAAGTTATCATGTTTTAAGAAATTCTCAAGGTTAACACAATATTTTTTCAAAATATCATCGTCTAATGGTTTTGATTTTTTTTAGACTAAATAAGAAGCCAAAAATATTTTCATATAATTTAAATTGCTCAAATCTATTTTTAATTGAACAAATAGCTTGATCTACATATATAAAATAATTAGTCTTAAAAGATTCTTCGGGGATTGTGTTGTCTCCTCATTATCATTTTCATCGAATCATTTTTTCTACGAATGTTACATTTTTCACGGAATATAAGTTTAGGGCCAGCCCAGTAATACTTGAGGCCCTAGGCAAAATTTTTAGATAGGGTCCAAAAATTATTTTTAGATGAATAATTTATTTAATTTTTATTTTTAAAAATTTAAATTTATATCCTTTGATATGTATATTTAAGGTGAAAAATAACTTCAAAAAAATATTATGTTTAAATTAAAATCAACTTAACTCAAAAATTATAGTTCAAGAAAATATAATTGTATAAATAGGTTAGAGTTATTACAAATTCAGATAAAATAAAAACATAGAATCATAATTTTTTGTACAAGAATATGATGCGATCTTTTTTTTTCTTTTTGAATGCACATATATTTATGATTTCAAGAACAATATTTTTAAAATCTTTTTGATCATTTTACAAAAAATCTTAAGTTTTTTAATTCTTTATAATTTATTAATATAATTTTATGAAACATACGCGAACCTTGCCCTAGGCAAGTGGGGGTCCTAGGCAACCACCTCACTTGCCTTGGGGTAGGGCTGGCACTGTATATATTCTATATATTCCCATTTTCATTGCAATTTATTTAGATGAGATCAAGAAGATGCATATCTATTTTCTCTATATGTTTTTGAAAATGAAATAAAGATGAAATTGATCTATAGCAACATCAATATGCATGTTTATGGATTGTAATTTTTTACTAACAAAGTTAACAACAAAAAATATATCATACCTAACAGAAAATCAAAATTTTCAATCTCATAAATTGCTAAGCATTTAACTTCACTACTTGTTTTGGGATCTTCAATAAGTTTTACTAATTGAAATAAAGCATCTCTAATTTGCAGGGTTTGAAATCTTATTACTTTAACACTTTTAATGCGACTTTCCCAACTTGTTTATGACAATGATTTGACAGACAAACAAGATACATGTTCTTGTAAAAATTTTTACAGTTTGGTTGAAGAAGAAAATAAACAATATATATGTTACACAACTCCCAAAAAAAAAGGCATAGCTTTAAGACAAGAATTATCCATATCACAAAGTACTAAATTAAGAGTATGATAACCGCATGGTGTATAGAATTTTCTAGGATTAGTATCTAATAGTCTTATTTGTACACCTTGATGTTTTCCCTTCCCATTAGATCTATTATCATATCATTATCCTCTTATTTCATTAACATTAAGTTCAAGATTTTTTTATAACTTTTATAAGTTCGTCAAAACAAAAAAACAAAAAAACCTTTATGATCACTCATCAGGAGTATAATCAAGTATAGTTGAAAAATATTTTGCTTTGTGGATATTCTTAATAATGAGACTTTTGATTTTAAGTGCTAAGATGTGTATTAGTTCATTTTGTATGTTATGACCAAGATAATGACTATGAATTTCAGCATGTTAAATACTCAAATATGTTATTGCATTATTGGATCAAAATCTATAATCATTTCAATTAAGCTTGAGAAAATGTTATTACTTTCTTGATAAGTCTTTTCATTTGTTCCACGAAAATGCTAGGTTATTTTTAGCAAGAGTCTTTACTACAACGATGATTCTAAACAACACATTTTAACAGTATTATTTTTATTTATTAATTTGTTTGTGAACATTTTTATGTATTGTTTAATATTTTAACAACCTCATTTCTAAATCAACCTAGAAATTCATATTGGCAATATGTTTGTGGCTTATTTCATGAGTTTTAAGCTTACTACTAAGATTTCTCCACTCTTTAGTACCATAATTAGCTGGTTGTCTTCTATTAGATTTAGAATTAAACAACTTGCAACAAAAACAATACACTTTATCAACATTTTTCAAATATGTTAATCATTTTCTATGTAATTTTTGAATATAATATATAGTTGAAAATGCCTATTGGTTTCATCATTCCAAAAAAAAGTAAACTATTATCTCTAATTGGACCTCTTTCTACTAATAAATCCCTTGATTTTGTATCAATTTCATCCCATTGTCCCCGATCACAGATATTTATAGCAATAGAATCCATTTTTTGGCTAAGGTTCGCATATTCTTTGTTTATTCCACTTTTTCTAATATTTCTTGATGCTGAGTATTATTTTTTTGTACATATATTTTTTCTATTTTCACAATCCGGTAAAAGGGTTGATTATTATTATTTTTTGCTGGAATTTGTTATATATTCTTCTTATTAATAAATTTATCAAGGGCCCCTTTTTTTTAGATTGATTTAGTTCATCTATTTTCTTCTTCTTCTTCTTTTTCTTTTTTCTTTTTAACATTTTCTTAGCCAGAATCATATCTTCTAGTTAACGTACTTTAGTCTTAAAAATCCTTACAGTATAAGTATCTGATGACAATGGAACAATGGTAATAACCTACTTTATTACCAAGTACAATTACAATGGAACAGTAGCACCCGATAAATAGGAAAATTTACACAACTCTTTGTTCATCTTCCAAATAGTGTATTAATTTTAACCTTCACAATAGATAGTAAATTGAATTACAATAAATAATATTTATAAAAATAAAAAATTAATAAACTATTAGTTAAATAAATTCAATAACTTTTCAATCCAATGGGCAATGTATAACAAGATAATGAATCTATGTATGTGTAGGTTCTGAGAGACGTTTACAAATCCGTATGTGGGTAATCTATGTATGCCATTGCAGTCAGTGCGGCATGTCAAGCTACATACAATTTGAAATGCATTACTGAGCCTCAAATCACTCTTGGACCACAAGAGATTATTGACTGTGTGCACGAAAAATTCGAGCATAGTAAAAAGACTATGGAGGATGTCGACAAGAAAAGTTGTATGCTTTCTTCCACACGCAAGTCTTTGACTTATGTCACCAATTATGGCATAATTATCCTTTCCAAGCGAGAAGATGTCTTTGTGAGCCCCTCCAAATCGTAAGATGTATATACTTGTAAAACTTACTTTTTGAATATTTATTAAATATCACTATTCCTTATGTGTTTAATTTTTCAGATACCGAGGCTTAAACTGAAGAACTTTACCATGGTGCCTACCAATTATGCTGAGAAAATCATCATAAACCTCATCAATTGCCACCCAATAACTGGTGTTATAAAAACGACTCAAGAGTTCATTGAACTCGAGAATGTGAGTTAAATATAGCAAAAATAGTATAAGTATAATTAAATTGTAGAGTTGTTCATATTTTCTTCTTCAATTGTACCATTTTCTGTAGGAAATCTTTACAGGACCAATCAATGAATACTCACACCTGTACGGAAGCCATACAATGCTGGTGGTGGGTTATGGAGAGGAGGATGGGGAAAAATTTTACTGGGTGCGAAACTCCTAGGACACAGATTGGGGAATCAACCTATACGGTAAGGTCGTATCTCGATTTCTTTGTTGATATGACTCCCACATGCAACATGGAACATGTATTATCGAATTATCTAATTAAGCTGTAACGGAGGGACATCTTAACAGTTAGAAAATTATGTTGACTACTTTTCTTTGATAGCTTTCTTTATATGACTTATGAGGTGTGTGTCAGCATTTTTGAATGACTGGAAACTTAATATGATTTTGATCGTCTAATTGAGGAAACGAAGGGTATATGTGTATAGTAATATTTCTTTCTGGGTTTGTGTGTGAAAGGGTACAAAGGGCAAGAGTGTGTGTGTGTGATGTGCGTGCTTTGTTTTCAAAAGTTTACAGAGGAAGGGTGAGACAGAGAACGCAGTGGATTTACAAAGTATGGAGGGGGAGAGAGGAGATTTGGGAAAGAGATTAGGACATGAATTGGGCGGGACATTAGGGCAAGATTTTGGGGATACCTTCTGGTATGGAAAGGTGATCACATGCCTTCTCATATGGAAAGGTCGAAATATTAGGAAAAGAATTGGCGATATAATTATTTGGGCAGTTAATTATGGAAGTTAATTTTGGTAACTAAAAGTTTTGAGCCCTAAAAAATTTTCAAGAGCTTCAAACAGTTTTGAATTGTATCGTCCGTTGGATGGTGTCTTTTTTAATCACGAAATAATCTGAACCACTCTTTTTCTTTAAAATTCAAAATTCGTTTTACTTTATTATATAAATTTTTTTCTCACAATTGTTTGAATTTTTTGTATATTTTATAGGTCTTATTGTCTTGTTTTAGCCATCAAAAAAAGGGGCTAAATGTAAACGTATATGTGGTTAAGATCACTAGGAAAGCAACAAACCCCAATAAATATGGCAAGATCTTTCTGTCTACATGGAAACCTTATATGTGCAAAATTCTTTTAACAATGCTACATCCATTAAAATTTTTATCAATTTCTCAATCTCAAATCAATATAAACCATAGAATCAGTATGTTCTACAAGCTTTCACTAATTATCCAATGACTCAATCTACCACATCATTTTTAGCTTATCATGTTGAGGATACACAGGCCTGAGTATGGAATATGGATTTTTTTTTTATTTGGCAGTGTTTTACTGGTTAAGACATAGTGGTAGAGTATAAATAATTCTAAGCAGAGATGCTTTAAAAACTATTGTTTCCTTGAATAATTTGAAGTATATCACCTATACACTTTATATAGAAGTGTAGTCTAACTAATCTACTATATTTACTCCTATCTGTTACAGGGAATGAGTCTTTAAATATAACAGCTAGTTTTTGTTAGACAGTTGAGCACGCCTAGGATGAAACTGCTCCTCCTTATCTAGTGCAACTGACTCCTCATTCAAAGCAGCTGACTTGGTCTACTGAAATACATCTGATTCAATACGCCCTTGCAATCGAATGGGAAACTCCTAGACATGAAGATTGTGTTTTAAAGTATGAAACCGGACATTGCTGAGAGGCTTAGTCAGTAGATCAGCTAATTGATCTTTGGATGAAAGAAAACACACTTGTAACTTCTTCTACAGAACTTGATCGCGAACATGATGAAAATCGATTTCTATATGTTTAGTCCTAGCGTGGAAGACTGGATTGGAGCTTAGGTGTGTAGCTCCTATGTTATCACACCATAACTTTGGTGGTTCCAGCAATGGTAGGCCAAGATCAAACAAGACAAATTGTAACCATTGCAATTCTGCTGCTATGTTCAATAGGGCTTTGTATTATGCCTCAGTGCTGCTACATGCAACTGTCTGTTGTTGCTTGCAGCTTCAAGTAATCAAATTTTGTACATGGCAGACGCAATAAGCACCTACAGACCGACGATCATCTTTATCTGAAGCCTAGTCAGCATCAGAGAACCCTTGAAGAGCATGAATTTTATTGGCAGTGAACTATAAACCGTGGGAAATTGTATGCTTGAGGTACTGTAGTATTCGTTTCACTGCCTGCCAGTGATGGTCCTTTGGAAGATGCATGAATTTACTTTATGTACAGAAAAGGCAATATCTAGCCTTGTGGAGGCAAGATATTGTAAACCACCTACCACACTTCTGTAGAGTTGAGGGTCTTCAGAATCGGTGCCTTCAAACTTTGAAAGCTGCTTAGTGATGGACATTGGAGTTGTGCAAGGTTTAGCCTTATCCAGCGATGCATACTTGAGTAATTCCACAATGTATTTAAGCTGTGTAAGAAATAAGCCCGCACTAGTTGGTAGGGCCTCAACCCCGAGTAAGAAATTGAGTTGTCCAAGATCTTTAACGGGAAAATCTTGTCCAATGAGCCAAATGATAGTATCAATATGTTGTGAGTCAGATCCTATGATGATTATGTCATCGACATATATCAAGAAATAAAGTCGCATGGAGCCTTGATTCAAAACATACAAGGAAGTGTTGGCCTTTGAACCAACAAAACCAAGGGACTCAAGTTTATCCATGAGCCTTGAAAACCAAGCTCGCGGAGCTTGACGTAACCCATACAAACTTTTGTGAAGTGTGCAGACATATTGAGGGAAACCAGGATGAGAGTAACCTGGTGGCTGACTCATGTACACTTCTTCATTTAAGATTCCATGCAAGAAAGCATTCTGGATGTTAATCTGTTTGATTGAACAGTTGCGAGAGATGGCTATAGAGAGCACTAGACGAATAGTTTCAGGCTTAACAACTGGAGTAAATGTCTCATGGAAATCAATACCTTGTTGTTGGTGGTACCCCTTGGCTACAAGCCTTGCTTTGAAGTGTTCAATGGTACTTTCTGCTTTCTTTTTCCCTTATAAATCCATTTATTTTCAACCAAATTTATGTCTGGTCATGATGGAACAAGGGTCCAGGTGCCGTTTTCTGAGAAGTGCATCAAATTCACAATTCATAGCTGCATGCCATACTGGTCGCTTCACTACCTCAGTGAAAGTTGAAGGTTCAACGGTGATGGTAGTTGCTTTTGCTAGTAATGCCCGTGGTAATGGGTATTTAATTGTACCATCATGCTATAACTTTGGCTTAAGGGAGTTGGTTTTGGATTTACTTACCATCTGATGCGATGGTAGAACTTTGGAGGATTGAGGACGAGTGGAAACAGGTGCTGCAATAACAGGAACAATTGATTCTAGTTCAGCATCCCTTGCTGGAATCACTTGAACACTTGTCTCTTCCTCTGCTCGGTGAACACAATGATCAAGTCCAGATTCAAGGAGAGGGAGCACAAAAGATGTACCTGCAGAAACAACAAAAGACCTCGGGGATACTTGTAAGGAAGCAGGAAGTATTACAGAGTTATGACCTGATTGGACTTCTGATTCAAGATTGTTAAAATAAAAAAAGAGGGTCTCATTAAAAACAACATGTCTGGACACAAAAACCTACCCGGTTGACAAGTCGAGACATTTGTAACCATGATGACAGAGGGTATAACCAATGAAGATGCACGTTTTTGAGCGAAAATCAATTTTATGTTTGTTATATGATCTCAAGTTTGGCCAACATGCACAACCAAAGATATGCATAAAGTGGTAATCAAGTTTTTGTTTTGTTTTTTTTTTTTTGTGGAGAGGGAGAGGAGAGGGGAGGGGGGACTTGAACCCTTGACCTTAAAAAAGCAAAGCCTTCACAAGGTAAGGAATATCAAGGAGATTTTTGCTGAAGAAGTTTTTTAGGTAACATGTTTATTATGTAAGTAGCAGTAAGCAAGGCATCTTCCTAATAGTGTTGTGGAAGATTTGAATGAGCTAAAAGGATCAAACCTATTTCAACTACATGACGATGACGCCGTTCAACAACTCTCATTTGTTCATGTGTGTGAGGGCAAGCAAGACGACGTCTGATGCCAAAAGTTTTAAGATATTGGTTGAGTCTACGATATTTGCCGCCCCAATCAGTTTGCATTGATTTAATTTTGGTGTCAAAGTAACGTTCAACCAACGTCTGAAATTAAAGAAAAATAGGCTCAACATCAGATGCCTTACATCTGTGTACAAGAGGCTCAACCAACGCTTGAAATCATCAACAAAAGAAACATAATATGAGATCCATAAGTGGAAACTACAACTAAAGGCCCCCATACATCTGAGTAAATCAACTCAAGAGGCTGAGAAGCTGTAAAATTTGAAATTGAAAAAGACAAGTTATGGCTTTTTGCCATTTGACATTCAGGACAAACAATTTGTCTCTTATTCTCGACAATCGGGATATTATTTCCTGAAAGGACTTTCTGAACAACTGGATAGGAAGCATGGCCTAGTCTGTGATGCCAATTCGAGAAGGGAATGTGGGCGCCTACAAAGCCGATGCTAAAAGTTTTTGGAGTGGAGGTGAGAAGTAGTACAAACCATCACGAAGATGGTCTTTATGCTGGATGTTCCCTGAGTAATCCTTAATAAGAAAGAAAGAATCATGAAACTCAAAATAGACATGATTGCCAAGAGCAAATTTATGAACATACAAGAGGTTTTTTTAAATTCCTGGTACCACTAAGACTTGATTGAGGACAAAGGAGCGGGAGGGAGTAGTAAGAGCGGAAGTACCAATATGGGAAATATGCAAACCTACTCTGTTTCCAACTTGAATCTGATCTGAACCATTGTATTCATCACCATGAATAGTGAGGTAATTGCAGTCAGAGGTCAAGTGGTGCGTGGCTCTAGTGTCGGGATGCCAATCATCCTCCCGTGCTGTTGATCAGCAGCGAGCATTGTCTGTGCATTAGTATTTTTGGTGGGTTGAAGGAAAGTGATATCAAACATGTGGAAGCATTTATGAACTGCATAACCCCATTTTTCACATAATTGGCACCAGAGATTGGAACGGTTGCCACCATTGTGGTTTTGATTGTTGTATTGATGATTCCCTAAGAAAAACTACCACGATTACCACAGCAACAGCCACGAGTGCTTTCACCTTGGCAAGTTGCAACATTTGCACTAGCTCCAGACATAGAAAAAGGTTGAGTGTTATGATT